TGGTAATTTGTGTGCTCATTTTTGTTGATTCTCATGAACATTTGAATTTCCTTTCTAATCTCTTCCATGACCCACTGCTGATTCAACAGTGTGTTTTTCAGCCTCCATATGTTACAGGACTTTCTTTGGTGGCTTTTGGTTTTGAGTTCTAATTTTGTTCCTTTGTGGTCTGAGAGAATGCAGGGCATAACTTCAATGTTTCTGAATTTGGACAAATTTGCTTTGTGACCTAAAATGCGGTCAGTTCTGTGTGCCGCTGAGAAAAACGTGTATTCTGATGCTGCTGGTTGAAATATTCTGTAGATGTCTGTTAAGTCTAGTTGATCTGTGCAGTTGTTTAGATCTGCAGTTTCTCTGTTGAGTTTTTGCTGAGATGATCTATCTAGTGGGGATAGTGGTGTGTTAAAGTCAACAATTAATGTCTTTGGATCTATGTGAGATTTGAGGGAAAGTAGCGTTTCTTGGATGAATTTGGGTGCTCTGTTGTTTGGTGAATAGATATTTAGAATTATAATATCCTCCTGTAGTAGAGATCCCTTAATTACCATGTAGGGACCTTCTTTATCTCTTCTCACTAATTTTAATTTGAAGTCTATTTTATCTGATATTAGGATTGCAACTCCTGCCTGTTTATGGGGGCCGTTTTCTTGGTAGATTTTGTTCCAGCCTTTCACTTTCAAATTGTGCTTGTTTTTATGGGCAAGGTGTGGCTCTTTTTTTGGGGGGGGGTGGTCTGGTCGTGGGGCCTGAACTCTGGGCCTGGGCCGCTGTCCCTCAGCTCTTCTGCTCAAGGCTAGCACTCTACCACTTGAGCCACAGCACCACTTCTGTATTTTTTCTTTTTGCTTATGTGGTGCTGAGGAATCAAACCCAGTGCCTCATGCATGCAAGGCAAGCACTCTACCACGGAGCCACCTTCCCAGCCCCAGGATGTGACTCTTGAAGATAGCAGATAGAAGGGTCTTGCTTTTTAATCCAGCTAGACAGTTAATGTCACCTAATTGTAGAGTTAAGACCATTAATGTTGAGCATTAGGACTGAGAGGTGTTTGGTAGTTCCTGCCATGTTATCCATCTTCTTGGGAGCAATAGAGTTCTTCCTATGGTTCTTCGATTCTCAATTTGGGTGAGGTTTCTTGGCCTTTATTATGGTCCTCTTGGTTTTCTATGTGTAGGATATCTTTAAGTATCTTTTGTAGGGCTGGTTTGGTGGAGATATATTATTTCAGTTTTTCTTTGCTATGGAAGATTTTTCTTTGACCTTCTGTTATGATGGAGAGTTTAGTGGAGTATTGTCATTCTTGGTTGATAGTTGTTTGTCTTTAGGACATGACATACATCTTTCCAGGCTCTTCTTGCTTTAATTGTCTCCGCTGAGAAATCTGAGGTGATTCTAATTGGTTTCTCTTTATAGGTTATTAATCTTTTCTCCTTGACAGCTTTAAGTATCTTTTCCTTGGTCTGAATTAATCCTGTGCAGATTATAATATGACAGTGGTATGTCCTGTTCTGTTCTAGTCTATTTGGGGTTCTAAGTGCTTCTTGTATCTGAGTAGTCCTATCTTTTTGCATGTTTGGGAAGTTCTCTGCTAGGATCCTGTTAAACAAATTTCCCGGACCATTAACTTCTATCTCTAGGTGCTCCTCTATACCCATTATCCTCAGATTAGGCCTTCTGGTGGTGTCTTCCAAATGTTGAATAGATCTATCATATTTGTTGGATTTCTCTTGGGTAGTTGTATGTTCTTTCTCTATAATATCTAGGCTGTCTTCAATCCCCGAGATTCAATCTTCTGTATGATCTAATCTACTGTCAGGACTTTCTACTATGTTTTTTATTTCCTTTCCTTCTAATTGGTCAGCTTTGATGGCTTCAAATTCTTTGTTGGAGCTTTGTTTTAGATTTTGTATGAACTTCTTTACTTCCTTAATTTGGTGTTGTGTTTATTCTCAAATCACTTAGTTGTTTAGTTATGATTTCCTTTGACTCCCTTTCCTTCTGAGTGTCTCCATTCAGCATTCCCTTTGTGGTCTCCCTGGATTCCTTCAGGTGTCTGCTTATGGATTCCATGAATACCTCTACTGATATTCCCCTATTCTCATCTTGCTCTGGCAATTCCTGTATTACTCTTTGATTAGCTTCCCATGCTCATGCAATTCCTTTATTTCTCTCTGACTGTTCTCAGCCTGCTAGCACAATTCCTGTGTTTCTCTTTGACTGTTCTCAGCATGCTCTCACAATTTCTGTATTAATCTTTGAGTAGTTTCTTCTAGCTCACGAGATTACTGTAGTAATTTTTGGTTAGCCTCACCATGCTTGTGAAGTTCCTGTATTAATCTTTGGTTTGCCTTGTCTCACTCCCTATCATGCTCACACTGACTTCTTTGCAGGTTTTCAATGTTTTCATTCACCATGTTTTCCAGTAGTGTTTGTAGAGGTTTTTGGGAACTCTGCTGTGGATTTTTCATTAACTGTTCTCTCACCTGGTTATCCTGAGTTGGGGCTGAGATACACAGACCTATAATTTTTCTGGTGTTTCTCTGGGTTGTTCTGCCCATTTGGTATGAAAGTAACACCAATTTTGTGCTAGAACACTATATTAAGGCAAGAATCAACCAGAGTCCTGTAGTTGCACAGTCAGAATGGCTGCAGATACAGTCTAGTTCAACAGATACAATCTATTCAACATCAAACAACTATGGATTAATGGGCTAAGAACATCAAAGAGGGATTCAGCAAACTAGTATTATTAGCTTTAGGAAGAATTGTGGGGAAGAATAGGATTAGAGGGATGTGGAGAGGTAAAAGGAGAGTAATTTTAACCAAATCCTAATCTCAGAGAGGACAAAATGATAAGGGAAAGATTTAAAAAAAAAGAAAAGAAAAAAATGGAAAAACAAAATTTAAGTTTAAAAATGAAGCACTTAAAATTATGTAAGTATAGAGAAATGATATTGAAAGAAGAAAAGGATAAGTTGAGAGGAAGGGAATGGTAAAAAGGAAAAATGAAAAAATAAAAATTCTTAAAATTGTTATACTTGAAACTTACATCGGTGTAAAGAAATAATGTTACTATAAAGGAAGTTAAGCCTAAGAGGTTGTGAACTGAGTAATAAATTTCTGGATTAAATATGTACACAATGAGGCATAAGGTCTAATAATCGACGACGGGTATTTATCTGGGAATGAGCAGAACAGTAATTAAGTCACATAAAAAAGAATGAAAGAGAAAAGAAAAAATAAAAGAAAAAGAAAAAAAGGACCAAAATTTCCAAAGAGATTTAAAAAAAAATCACACACACACATAAACTCCTAAAATAACAATTATGAAACAAAAAAAGAAAAAAAAAGAAAGCAATAAAAATAATAATAAAAAATAGAAAAAAAGAGTTCTTTGATTTTTTTGGGGGGGCTCTTGTATCTTTCCTGTGTCCATAACCAATATCTTGGTGGAGTCTCTGGTCTGTTTGTGGTATTTGGTTTTCCTGTGGTGTGAATGGTTTCTTAAGTCAGTTTGTTTAAGCAGGCAGAAAAATGCTCTGCTTTACCCAGGATTTTGTTTTCCTCCTTCCAGGCTAGTTCAATGGGAGGGAGATCTTCTTTCAGTATCACAAAAGAGGGAGATGGCTGTTTCTTCTAGTTTGGAGTTGCTGTGATGAGGCTAGGTTCTGGGTATGATTAAGGCCTATCAGCAATCAATAGCTTTTCCCTGAGGGGCTCACAGAGCCCAGGCTGGAGCCATTCTCAGGGTTTACGTTTACTGAATTTCAATTGATTGTCTAGGCTGCTATAGAGAGGGGCAGACTCTGGCTCTGTTTACCCAGTGATGAAAGTCACTCTTCTGGGGACAGCCTTTCCTCTGCCTGGGAGGGTGACTTTCCCCTGGGTGGAGGTGAGCCTGGCAGGTGAGGTCAGGTTCCTGTGACTTGCTAATGGCTCCAATTGTTTTCTTCCAAGGCCTGCTTTGGCACTAGCTGCTGGGCCCTGCCTTTGTCAGTATCAAAGATGTAGATCTTCTCAGGTAGTGGAGGAGGGGCAACCTTTCTACTGCTGCTCTGTGAGAAGGATTGAGGATGTCATGGTTCTACTCATGCCAGACTCTTGGTTCCTGGGCCAACCCTGCCCTTTAATCAGCAGGATGAAGATTTCTGCTCCTTGTCAGTTCTTGCTGGTGGTGAGTAGAATCCACTTGCAAGCCGTATCTGGTGCTTTTGTCCCGGGCTTTCTCTGTTGGTATGGTGGCCGTGGCTGCTGCCACCACAGCTGCGGCTACCAGCAAGTGCTCAGATCCGTCTCCTTGACCAAGCTGCCTGGATTTTCCCTCTCTGGCCAAACTCTTTGTACTGTGATGGCACACCTGGTGTCATTCTCTAGCCTAGAACTGTTTACTGGAACACTAAAACTGCTTTCTATGAGAGAGCTTGTTCAGCCTTCAGCTTCTCTTCCACCATCTCCCTGAGCTTCTTTTGCTCAAAGCTAATGCTGTACCACTTGAGCCTTAGACCTACTTCCAGCTTTATTTTTCTTATATAGATTATTGGAGATTCGAGTCTCGCTGATTTTCTTGCCTGGGTTGGTTTTGAACTGTGATCCCTCAGATCTCAGCCTCCTGAGTAGCTACGATTGCAGGTATGAGCCACCAGCACCCAGCTTATTTTTTATTTTACATACAAGATAAATGAAGCATACAAATTACATAGCAAACGCAACTTGTGGCAACTTCAATACATTTGTTTTTGAGCTCAGACTCAAAAATCATGTGCCCATGAGATTCCATCTATACAAGAGACTTTCTGTTTTGGCTCACTGTTTTGAAAGATTAATATTATTACTTTCACCAAAATGGAAGTAGATTGGCAGAGAGGCGGGGGAGGGGGGGAGAATGTTGAAAGGGGTGACACTGATCAAGACGTATTACATTCATAAACTGCTTTGTTAAATTACAACTCCTTTGTACAATTACTTAAACATAATACAACAATACTATTTTTCTGTTCCAGATAAAGGAAGACCTAGGTCTAAAAAATTAGCAGAAAGTGGAAGATGGAAACAGAGTTCATATAAGTCATCTCAAGAATACAACATAGAGACGGTAGTGGTTGCAGACCCGGCAATGGTTTCTTATCACGGTGCAGATGCGGCCAGGAGATTCATTCTAACCATCTTAAATATGGTAGGCAAACTTTAAAGTGCTTGGAATTTTTGCAAGGAAACTCTAAGGAAGAATGTGTGAATATGTATAATGAAGTTCTTTAATAATTAAATCATTGGTATTACTTTCTTTTATTAGTATCATAAAATACTGATTTGGTAATGAGTTGTACCAAAGTTATCCATCTTCAGGGTGAGCAAAAAAGGGGTCATATCTAATTCAGAACAACAGCAATAACAATGGTAACAACAAAAACACCTCTGCCTTTGTGATTTGTTTTAATGTGGTAAACCTTTTCTTCTGGGATTTTTTTTGCTTTTTATTATTTTATCTTTGTTTTTGGTCATTTAAAAGCCTTTGGTTGATATTAACAGAAATATTACAATGTTCATATGCAAGGTCTTACCAATTGTACTATAGATTAATGGTTAAATGGTATAAAAATAGATGCTGGTAGTCCACTTAATTTATAAATTATGCAATACTGAACATCAGATATAATTCAAGTTAATGAATAAAACTTAATAGTTATTAGATAAAATTTTAACAAGCAGAGACACAGGTAGCTCAATGAAGTCAACAATTTCTAGTGTGGAGAAATCTAGCTTATATCTAGCATTTTCTGGCTGCTAAATACCACATGCATCCTTTGACCGAATTGTATACTGTACTTGATAACATTTCTTCAGAGAAGAACTTGAGGATTATATTAAAGAGTGGCTCAAAGCTGGGCACTTGCAGTTCACACCTGTGATCCTGGCTATTCAGGAGACTAAAACCTGAGGATCACAGTTCGAAGCCAACCAGGATAGGAAAGTCTGTGAGACACTTACCTCCAACAAACTACTCAAAAAAAAAAAAAAAAGAAAAAGAAAAGAAACTCAGAAGTGGAATTGTGGTTCAAGTGGTAGAGTGCTAGCCTTGAACAGAAAAGCTCAGCGACAGCGCCCAGACCCTGAGTTCAAGACCCACAACAACAATTAAAAAAAAGGAAAGAAAGAAAGAAAGAGAAAGAAAACGAGAAACAGAAAAAAGAAAAGAGTGGCTCTTAGGAGAGAAGAAATAGAATAAGACATAATATTATCCTAGAAGATCAGGTAAGAACCTCTGTTTGAGAGATGAGGAAGTTCTTGTTTTTACCAATTTTTCTATCACTGGCCTATTTTTCCAGTGGACCGTTTTATACTCTTCAGAAACAACATCAATATTTAGCTGAATTCTGAAGATTCTGCGAACCCACAGCATATGTGTAGACTAACATAGGCTACTTCCTTTTCATTTACATACTATCATCTCTGAAGACATGTCTTTGGTGTACAAGTTTTATATTTCTTAGTATACATTAAGAAATGCTTTTTTTTTTTTTTTTTTT